GCTTTCTTTGGAGTGTAATGAAGAGCTCTCGCCTGCAATAAACATCTGAATCTATTTTTTAAAACTCCGATTGTTCGCTCTATAATATTTCTGGCTTTTGCATGTTGTTTGTTGTATGTTCTTTGAGGAGATCCTTCCTCAGAATTTCTGAACGGCGTCATCAAGTATGGTTTTAGAGCGTAACCAGCATCACCTAACGTGGATAAAAATAATTTAAAAAAAGGAAATAAATGTAGGTTTTGTATTTGATCATACCCAGTAGCCAAGTATTACGAATACCATTATGATGTTGCTGTTCTAAGTGTGCTTTCAATGATGACATATGAAAAACCATGGAATCATGTGTCGCTCCCGGATTTTTTGCATTTATGTATCTTATTTTCATTGTGTGATCACAAACCTAAAAAAAATACAAAAGTGTACACATCTACAATTAGAGATTCTTAGCATGTATGTACGAAAATATATATACTTACAACCATAGCATTAATGCTGAAGAATCCTTTTCTGTTGTAATATAAATGCTGGAATTCCTTCTTGGGAGCGACAATTTTAATGTGCGTCCCATCAACACAGCCGATTATTCCTGGAATTCTGCTTTTGCTGTAAAAATGTGCTTTCGCTTGTTGCAGTTCAACCCCTGTGTAGATGAATTTTATCCATCTTTGGCAAATGAAATTTTCCAAAACATCAAGCACTTCTGATATCACCACAGACACCGTGGGCTGCGCAAGCCCAAGCATATTTTCATTCCCAATACTCAGTTGGTACGATCCCTGAGCACAAAATCGCAGAACTGTTGCTAGTTTTAAGATATTTGCAATAGATTTGGCTCGAGTGCATTGCTGCAACAGGTCTTCTGTAGCGGACAGCAGGTCCACAAACGCCTCTTTAGACAGTCGGAAGTTTTTTATAAATCTGTAGACAAATAATTATAAATATTATATAAATATGTGAAAATATATCCAAAAGGCCACACTTACGCGGTTGAATCCATTTCTAAGGGATTGGAAGCGTCCCTTAAACGTTTTCTATTCCTGGCCAGTTCCACTAAATTCTCATCCTCTGAGGAATCGTCGAACCATAACTCCGTTGTACTCATCTTCACTAAGTTCTTATCAGCTCGCTTTATTTTTTACTTGATTTTAATTAACACAAATTTACATAAAACGTTGTAATAAACACGCTTTCTTTTCTTTTAGTTTGCTTAATATGTAAACAAAGCATCTCAGCTGTCAAAAATATACTATTGTGAACAACCTAAACGAGCGAAATTCACAATAGCGCTATTCTTCATCGAATGAGCGCCATAATACCAAATGAAAATTCGTTCGCTCAGCACTTTCGACTACAGTCGAAAATCGAATGCAACTCATAATAGGGGCCAAAGTTTAGACGAAGCGCAAACGCCTTTTTTGCTGCCAGCATTTTCATTGATCGTCCCTCGTATAATCTTAAGCCATATTGGCTATATAAATTGCAAACATGACTACAGCAGTGCTGCAAATAAAAATGTTTGAAAAGAGACTTGGAGAGGAATGAGAGCAAGCGAATAAAGTGTGAGGTACATTGAAAATGTGGAAGAGCATGCTGCATCCGCTCAACGCATGGTTGCGGGGTTGACCGAGGAGCAAGCTGAGCTAAAATAAAACACACATACAACACGGATGTGTGGTGAAAATTCTCTGCAGTGAAAAACCAAACCAGTCAGCATAAATACCAGTGCATTAACTAGTAGATATGAGCCAAAGCGATGGCATACCAGTTCTACAATTTCGAACAACTTATGCGATCAGCGACATCAGCTGTTGAGTTTTAAAAGTCACAAATAAAACGCAATTAATTAATTATCTTACAAATGTCGGTTCGAGTCCGCTTGAAGGTGGTTCAGATTTTTCAAATTAAATCAATATAAAGAAGTTAATATTATTATTCCAATTTGAACATAAATTAAAAATTTTGGAATCAAATTTCTTTGAAGAAAAAACACACATATCTGTGGCATTTTATAAAAAACCACTTAAGTGACGTTAGAAGGTTTGACTTTGAATTAAAAAATAATAAGTTTTTCTTGAAATATCTGATATTTTTTTTTTAAGTTTATAGTAAAAGGGCTTCTCTAACTACACCTGTCGTTAATTAATCATTGAGATATTGTTTGGAAACCCAATGAAATATTGCTTCAAAGAGAAACTGGCTTATCCCGAGATTAGTTCCGTTAATAAAAGGCCGCAGATGTGTAAAGAAATACTTTTGCCATAAAAAAATTAAATGAAGAAAATATTTTCCTTAAAAAAATTTCAATATAAACCCTAAAAAAAAAGTAATAATCAAAAAAAATTTTGCGCGAGGACTTGAACCCTGTTCCTCAGGAATACCACGCACATACAAATCATATATAACGTTAAAGGTTTTTTTTTGTGCTCCTCCTGATAAACATATTTGTTAATATACATGGTTAAATACGTATTTTTTTACGAAAAACATACATTTTTATAAAAAAATTCCCATAATTTAGTTTTTCTACTTTTTCTCGAAATATGTTTACACTCTATACATAGATAAATACATCAAATGAAAGGTGCTTCTATCAACTTTCCATCAGTGTTCACATTTTAATCGGTTCAAAAGTTTTCGAAATAAAAGCTTTTGAAAATATTGAAAATTCCACGTTTAGCCCTCCTTAGCGCCGCCCCTGTTAATTCGCTCCAAAAAAAAGGCCATTAAAATCAGGAAAAGGGGCGGGCCACGCCCACTTTTTTTTAGCTCAACAGCCCCTATTCTTTGAGAATGTTGAAATGTTTCGTAAGAATGTCGTCTATTCTCGCAACTATATTAAAAGCTCTTTCTTTTCTTTCTTTTTCCAAATTCTCTGCCGATTCTGAGTTAACTACGCACTGTGAGTTTGGCGCTAATTGAAAGATCGGCCATTGCGAGTGAGAGAGCTTTTTTTCTAAAACTTTTGTGCTAGAATAACAAAAGTCTTTCCAGCTATCTTGCCATCTGTCTTTCATTTGTCTTACGAAAGACTATTTACTGTCTTAGCCAGAATTGCCCTGTAAATAGTAAAAAGCTTTTTTTTCGAAAGACAGATGCAAGATAGTTCAATAGACTTTTCTAGATTCTAGAAAAGCTCTCTCATTCCCCACTCGTGGTGAAAATCTAATTTGGGAGAAAGCACTTGTATATCATTTAGCTCGCGTCGCTTCTACAGTCGCAATGGCGAGCGAGCAGAGCGTGCTTTTCGAGAGATCCGAGTTCGAGTCTCGGTCAGGGGAATTTTTTTTATCACTTATTTCATTTATTTGTTTCTTTCTTAATTCACATTTTTTTCTTTTTTAATATTGTTTTTAACTTTTAAATTTTATAAATAAATGTATATTTTTTATTATCATTTAATTTTTAGAAACTTATTTTATGCATATTTTTCGTTTTTAATGTAATTTTATAATTTATTTATCTTTTAATTTTTAGATATTCTTTTATAAGAAGAATATTTTTTTAAGTTTCATTTAGTTTTAAGGAGCTTATTTTTTTTCTTTTTTTAAATAAAATATTTTGTTTAATTTTCTTTTAATGTTTGTATTTTATTGTTTAAAAAAATATTTTTTTTTTTATTTTATCCTGTTATGTTTTTATTTTATTTAGTTTTTAGGATCTTTTTTATTTTTTTGTATTTTTTAATTTATTTTACTTTTAGTTTCTAGATTTTTTTGAAATAAAAATATTAAGTTTTAATTGTTTTAATTTTAGATATTATTTTCTTCATCGCTTTCATTTTGTTTCCCTACTTATTTTTTTATTTTGTTGTTTTAAAAACGAACAATTATTTTTTTAAATTTCATTTAATTTTAAAAAATATTTTTATTTATATCTGCCTTATTTTCATAAAATTTTTTTAAATTTATTTTCTTTTATTTATTAATTTTATTGTTTTAAAAATAAAAATTTTTATATTTTTTTAATTAAAATTAATTTTTAAAAAACTTGTTTCTGAAAGGCCAGTATCATAACGCTGAGAACTCCTCCTTATCAGATCTTTCAGTTATACTTTCGAAAGAACAGTAAAGAGCTTTCAAGATAGTTGCCAGAATTGACAATTGCCTTACGAAAGACTACGCAAACTAGTTGGGCTGATACTGGTAGCATTCTAGTTCACAACTAGTAGCTTTCCCTGCAGGGTACATACATACATACTTATATCCTAATATTCTAAGTTGCGAGCAAAAGCTGGCAATGGCTGGAGCATTCTTATGCAGATTCATTTGTCGTTATTAATCCGCCCGTGGTTTAAGCTTCTCTCCATGAGACATGCTGTGCGCAAATATGACGTACAATTGCAAATTGTATTTGTATGCATTGTTTCTCTTGGCATTTTGAACTATTCCTTGTTGTTCTGCTTTTAAGTGTCTCGTCATTTTTTGCTACATTTTCATTTTTATTCGTTTGTTTTTTTTTTACTTCCCCTCCTTTTTGTACATAATTTTCTTTCAACCACTTCCTGCCTCATGTTTCAAGGCGATTTCCGTGCTTCATGCTGCGTTCTCGAATACGTTTCCTGCAACTTCTGCAGCGCGTTGAACGTTTTGCATTTGGCAATTTAATGTTTGCATTTTTATGGCTACTTAGCCTGACACTGTTGCAATTTGAAATTTCATTTCCATTTGGCGTAGCCAGCAGGTCGTGAAGCAGCCAACAAGGTCTCAAGTGCTTGGAGGACTTTGTGTTTTTCCTTTTTTCTTCTACTTAGCTTTTTCTATTGCAGAGTTGTTTAGTTATTTATTCGCATTTGAGTTGAATGCCAACAAATCGTTGCTTCATATTTATATTAGTATAATTTGTGCGACAACTTATTTTCGCTTTGACGAAATAAAATATTTACAATTTCTTCATGTACATAATTTTATTATAAGTTCATTGTATTTTTGAGTGCAATAAAATTTGTGATTTTTGCTTTTTTGGTAAATTTTTAATCTCTTCTTTCATTTCCTCTCTTACAGATGCCGCATTGGCCGAGGTCTTCGACACACATTTGCGCGGTCCCGGCTTCGTAATGGAGCCACCCGGACGTGTTGAGTTCTCCAATTCGTCTGGCGGTTGGCTTGATTGTTCGGCGTCGGGTAGCCCGCAGCCCACCATCGATTGGGTGCATGCGGATGGCACTGCAGTCTCGGAGATTCATGGCGTGCGACGTGTACTGCGCAATGGCACTTTGGTGCTTTTGCCATTTCCGGCGGCGGCTTATCACCAGGACGTGCACAATACGATTTATCGCTGCATTGCTAGCAACAGTGTGGGGCGCATTGTGTCGCGCGATGTGCAAGTGCGTGCTGGTGAGTAGCAACAGTCATATATTTTTTTTTTACTTTAATAATATTTTGGTTTTAAGAGCTAAATATGTATTTATGTAAGTATAGTAAGTTTGCATGTAAAGTATGTATGTATTAACATATATATATGTACGGAGTTTTAAGCGTGTAGGTAATGACATTGCTGATTAAGTTGAGATTGCGCACGCTCCATTTCATTGTTGAGCACGCCATCGCTGGGTATGACAGTGAAATACCATAAGAGCATTGTATTACACTGAACTGGCAATCCCCTTACAAGAAGAACTTTTAAGAGCTGTAAAAGCTTCGTTTGATTAAAGTTTTTTTGAATTTCGAATTCAAGAAATATTCTTAAGGTAAGCGGTAAAAAGACATTTTTAAAATTAATCAAATTGCGAAAAAATTGAATTATTTTCTAATATGCATGAAAAGGAGTCATGTGCCAAATCAGTTTCGTTCAATGGTAGTTAAGCAGCACTTTTATTTTACTTACAGCATATAATTTTTTTTTATTCATATTTAAGATATTTCTGAAACACTAACTCAAACCTAAGATACAAATTAAATGAGAAAAATATCTGAAGATTAAAAAAAGTCGTGCAACAAATCAAAAATATGTTGAATCCCCTCGTCACTCTCACGACTAAGCCCTGCTCATCTTCGATTCCTTAAGAATGGTTATTTGGAACGCTAATGGGCTATCAAAACACCTAATTGAACTAGATAGATCGATAATATAACGAGGTATGCACTGCCACCTAATAATATATTGTGCCCTGGGCTCTTCATTTTACTTCCTCCAAGCCTAGATCCTTCAGAAAGTTCCACATCTTCTGCTGATTGCATCACACTCGATGAGGATGTGTAGTGGTGTTTCATTTTACCATATTCCCAGCTTATAAAGATGCCCTCTTAATCTGCAGTGACCTGTAAGGAGGCCTGTTACTATTCTTAGCTTCTTCTTTTGGAGTTTAATAATACTTTGGAATCTCCTCTTGTTGCCTCATTCCTACTAAATTATACCAGTTAAAGTCCCTAATATTGCCCTTATCCCTCCTGAGCTCCTCCTTTATAGTCTCGAAACCCAGTCCCAGGAAGGCCTCAGAGCCAACTGGAGTGTTGACTGCCGCCTCTCTTGCGAGACAGTCTGCCGCAACCCACGCCAGTCTGATGTTATTGTGCCTCCCAGGAGGTTTTGAGCTACTCTATGTACTAAAGGACCAGGGATGATTTGATTTCAAACGATAAAAGAGCCTTGATTGCCGCCTAAATGTCACTTTGTATTATAATCCTCTCTTTACGGTAGCCTCTATTTAAGATGGTCTTCGCACACAAATAGATAGCGTACCCATAGGAATAGAAATCCTGGTCCAAGGTCCAAAGACTGCAGCCCCTAATCCTTCTGGGGTCTTCGAGCCGTATGTGTACCAATGCAGTGTACTATCCCGAAGGATTCTCTTGAAGGCGGAGATACTCCAGGTTGCTTTACTGGGTAACTAAATTTTAAACCCCTTCTCAAGTTCTATAGTTCTGCATAAGTCATCTGTCGGAAGCAGAGCTAGCGGGAGCGAGGACCCTAGCTTCGCCATGTTCTCGAAGGAAATGGCCTTGCCCCTTCCAAATCCTTCTCTTGCTAAACTGAGTAGAGTTCTTTTGATGACCTGTTCTATGGTTATATAGAGGAGCTAAGTTCAATGACCACTTCCAGCGCTGTCGTCGGACATGTGCGCATCGCTCCCGTTATGCATACATATGCCAGTCGTAATGGAATTAAAAGCTGGAGGTGACTACAAAGCAAATACACCTTCTGTGGCTCTCCAATTATTACTTCTAGACAACGTAAATTCTGCGCTGTTATCAGAACTCTGAACTTATTTCCGATCTCGTCCGGCCGGCAGATATTAACAAAATAGGCGAGTTGATAAATTTCTGTGTGGCTAAAGGCAGTGTACTTTCAGAAGTGTGTAGCCTTGCCTTCTGATCACTCTCCCGTTTTATTTGTACTCAATAGCAATTTTGCTGCCAAACCCACACAATATACTCTACGCTAGCGGACAAATATGGAATTCATTCCGATTTATGCTTTCTCTGAACCCAGGTTTTAATTTACGGCTTAAATTTGAAGAAAACATTACCACTGCAGTAGAACTTTTCAATAATTGCCTACAGCAAGCCATCCGGAATTCAACTCCGTCTCTTACCAAGCGAAAAACCTCATTGATTCTTTAGAAGCAAACTAGATATCGTGAATATTGAAAACAATTAAACAAGCTCACCAACTAAAAGACACCTCAATAATGAACGCAACTACAAAACTCAAAGATACCTGAGCAGTATCTGCAACTGCAATTACCTAATATTCTCACTGGAAAGTAAATAGTGAATAAATGAAAAATACCCACCATGCTTTAATCTGCAATAACAAAGGAAAACCACGAATTAGAAAAATGTGCTCACTATCCAAAAACGGTATTCACCGTTCAACCTCCGACCCGAACCCGACACCACAAATAAAGTAAATGCCACACTGGGTTGTACTCATCAAATAGATCTATCCATAAAAACTGAAAACTTGAAAAGTCTGAAATAAGTTTACGGTTATGATTTCATTAAAATCCAATTACTAAAGCAATTACCTAAGAATGGCTCAGACAACCCCAGTGGATAGTTTCACTAATAAAAATGATTCTCAAACCTCTAAAATGTGCTGATAAAGTAGAATCCTATAGCCCAATTAGCTTTCTAACCACTATTTCCAAAATTATGGAAATAGTCCTTTTTAAAAGTTTAGTTCCAACCATAGAATAGCGAAAACTCATACCAAATTATCTATTTGGCTTCAGGAAAAAACGAACAACAATTGAACAGAGGCCTGCTGAAAAGACTCACTCTGCCTTTGACCAAAGAAATTATTGTACTGCTACCTTTCTCGACTACTTTTGCATCGAAACGCACCCTAGTGGTTATTTTAGTTAAAAATAAATTGTAAATTCAAATTTCTCGGACTCCAGAAAGACATTTGAATGCATAAATATTTGCATCTAACTTCATATTACAACAAGTAAAGAAGTATAAGTTCGGGCGAAACCGAACTTTATCTACCCGGCGCAGGTATCAAATATCGAAGTTTCAACTTTCTCTAAACTACTTGTGCATCATAAGCAGGTGTGTTTTTTCCGATTTCAAATGTTTTTGACTTAACGAAATAATTGAACCAAGTTTGGTAGACATCGATAAAGTGGTTACTAAGTTACACCTTTTTAGCTATAAAGTGGGCGGGGCCACGCGCAATTCCCAAAATTCTATTTATTGTTAAAAAATTGTTATAATAGTTATTAACTTGGTGTAAATTAGCGTTCTCAGCTATTAAAATATCGGTGTTTTCGTGCTATTTCAAATTTACATTTATACGGGAGGCGGGGGTGATTTTGGTCCGATTTGAATAATTTTCAAAGAATTGCTTTTCCGTATCAAGGTTATTAAGTGAACCGAGATCGGTTACCGGGATACACATTCGTTGTCATGAGGGGCGGCGTCACGCCCAAAATCCAAAAATGTATAATAATCTAATTTTTTGCTAAGAGGTTATTGCAATAATCGAGTTTAAGTGAATTTGCTTCAGTAGTTACTGATTTATCGAAGTTTTCGTGTTTCTGTAAATTACCGTTATATGAGAGGTGGGCGTGGTTATTTCCCGATTTCAACAGGGTTCTTAACTAGCAGGTTTCTTAACCTAGGCAAGGTTCGCTGAGATACATCATAACAATTTTTTCAAAAATTTCAAAATAATATTATATTTTACCAAAATTCGACTTCCGTATAAAATTTCAACAATTTGCATCCAATATTTACTGAAATCTCGTAGTTCTTGCATTTTTCAAAAATACCTTTATATGGGAAGTGGGCGTGGTTACAGTCCGTTTTCGCCCATTTTCAATACCAATCTACCTTGGATAAACAGAAATGTATACATTTGTCCATATCTATCTCACAAAGTCATAATAACCTTTGAATAAAATTTGAAGCTAATCGAAATTGTGCTACCGAATTTGGTGTCCGATATGAAAAAGAATGCCTCACATACTGTCAAAATATCTCAGTAGCAAATAAAGCATCGAAATAACTCAAACTCCGCCAAATTTACCGTTAGGTATACATACGTATGTACATACTTGCCAGTGTTCACTTTTTACCAGTTAATAAATGTCAAAAAACATATATTTTGAAACTCTGCATTTTTAACGATCTATTCGTCCATCTTCTTTTTATTTCCAGTTGTTGCTCAAGCATACAAAGTGGATGTCGAGGTGCTGTCTGCCGCCCGAGGATGCACCGCCATACTGCGCTGTGTCGTGCCGACTTTCGTAAAGGAATTGGTGCGAGTGGTCTCGTGGGTTCATGAACCTGCTATCTACATTTATCCATCGCTACAAGGAGGTATGTATGTTAAAGTGCTTTTTGCGAGCTTCATGATTTTTTACGTTCCTTTACTTTGTTTGTGGTTGTAGTACTATGAGTTATGCGCAAAGCTTTCAAACCAGCTTGCAGCGTTTAAGTCTGTGCAGTGCGGTGCTGTGCTGTATGTGTGTGTGTGTGTGTGTTTTTTTTTTTAAATGTGAAAGTCTACCAGCCTCAACTTGGCATTAAAGGTGGAAATGTGATTATTTATTTGCTAGAGTAGCAAAAAGCGACAGCCAGCGGCATGCAACAACACTTGTGCGTACATTATCCTTTTGCTGGGTGCCGCGGCTACAGGTGTCTGTGTAACTGGGTATAAACTGGGCAATGCATTGCAATGTTGGGATAGTTTGCGTGGGTGTGTGTGTGCGTGTGTTTCTTGCTCATCACGGGGCTTCTTGCATAATTAACATCGTTCTCTACAGTCAGCAGCCACCATCTCATTCTTCATCCGTCGTCCGTCGTCCGTTAGTCATTTTTTATGTTTTGTCTTCTTGATTAAAATTTACTTTGACATGTTTGTTTGCTATTTATTCGTATGTGTATAGGGGGTTTGTTTAAATTTCAGCTAGCCAAATTTTATATACTGATTAAATAAATGAATAAAATACGAGCTCATTAATAAATAAATTTTTGCTTAAATTCTCCAACAGATGGCAAATTCCATTTACTGCCCACCGGTGAATTACTCATTCACAATTTACAGGAGACTGATGAATCGCAATCGTTTCGTTGCCGTAGCATGCATCGTTTGACGCGTCAAGTGGTAGTCAGCTCGCCCACACGCCTCAGAATCAATTGTGAGTAACTTGCATTTAAGCTATTTCCACATAAAATGTTTTTTAATTCAATATTAAAATATTTGGAATTATTTGCACGAATAACTTTGTTAACTGCATCTTTAATTAAATTTTGCTGCAAAAAATTAGCATCATTTTTATTGAAAGGCTTTTATGTTTCATTTTGAAGGAAAGTGCACATAAAAGGCCAACAAAAATTGAAATATTTTTAATAAATAATCCGAGACTCCACCTTATTTTAGCTGTTTATGCTCACAGACTGGCCGCAAAATTATGCGCTAATTATATGTTAGTTGTATAAATTTATAAATTAAATGCATGAATACACATGAATGCATTAAAATAAGAGTGTATATCTTTATTTAAATAATTTTTTTGTTTGAAAAATAAAATAAATGCATTCGCGCAGCGTTGAACGTATTGAATATGCAAAACCACAAATGTATAAATTATTTATTAACACTCACGTTTCCATTAAAATGTTCAATTGAGTTTTTTTTTTTAATTTAATTAATTTATGTACGAGTTTAAGGTCAGGATATAATTTGACGAATACGGGTTTAATTAGTTTTAGCTATGGTCTCCCAGTAAATATGGTTTGATAAGAAAATTAGTTTAAACAAAATGCCCCCTAGTATATTTCAGTTTGTTCCTAGCCTTATGAGGAGAGGTCAACAAGTTAGCAGAATAGTGGGGTTGAAGAACGTAAAGTTATTACATTGATACGTATATATCGACCCCTTTGCGCGAAACTATCACATGTGCCAGAAACCTATGGAATTGCACAGGAGAGAAATTTTTCTATTAAAGGCATGGTTATGCAAGTCTTAGACTAGACTTGACTTGAAATTACTAATTTTTCCATAGTCACTCGAAAAAATTATAATTGTTTTTTTTTTCTTATAACTTTGAGAAGTTTTCAAATAGAATGTAAATATAAGAGGCAATGGACGTTGGCATGAAATAAAACATATCTGTGAAGCTTTAAGGGTGTGCCACCAAATAAAAAAAAAATGGCAGCTTGCAGAGTTTCTGTCGCACCTCTATTGTAATTTTTGAAATTGTAAGATTTTTTAAATATTATTAATTTAAATATTAATAATTTTATATACATCAAAATATTGCAGTCAAACGGTGAAAATATTCTTGTTACTAAAACGAACGAATCCATTGTAATAAAACTAGTAAGCCTCCAAATGAAAAAAAAATACATTGAGTAAAAGATGATTATGATTTGAGAAACTAAAATTCCATTTTTATAATTTTTATTGGCACACTAGAAAATCATTCCAAAGTTGTTATGTACATGAAGGAAGTAATATGTATGTGCATAAGGAATGCTATATTAATTACTTTTAAATAATATGACTCTTAAGTTAAGGTGTGCGAGTAAACGTGTTAGATAACTGCCTATGGTGCTACGTGGTGTATACGTTACATGAGTGGTTACGAGCATGAGTGGTTATTTTCAGGGACGTGAAATTTGGTCGGTTCGAACCGTTTTTGCACTTTTGGATTGGTTCGTCAAAGCGGTTTTTTTGGTCTTTGAACCGGGGTTTCGGTTCGGTTCAACGGTTCGAAAAAACAAAAAAATAACGCGCAAGTTTATAGGAGTCAAGTGTCAAGAAGAAAGGCCCGTAAACTTATTTTCGCGGTCGACTATGTTTGCGGATGTAACAGTATGTAAATTCCCAAAGAGTTTTTGTGGAATGATGCTGAAGTGGCAGTCCTTGGCCAGGTATACATCTGTGTTCTTCGCCATAAACTAGGTTTTGCGTCTTTTTTCGCCGTCAAAACACTAGCGCGCCTTTATTCGTGTGCAGTGATGGTAGGTAGTTACGCAAAACAACAACTTCACTCAGAATCATGGAGAACTATAGATTTTTGATTTCAAAATTAAGTTTCTAAGTGCAAGGAGAGCCGTGAGAGAATCATGCTGTCATACGCGTAAATACATTTATTTTAATTGTAATTTTTTATAAATTTTTATACCAAACGAATTAGTCGTTCAAAATTTTACATGTACAAATACAAATGCTGAGAATCTAAGCAACGAGAAAAAGTAATAGATGGCACGCTGAGTAATCGTTTCCAGGTTTCTTTGTAAGTCAAGTCAAGTCTTAGCCTTGCATAACCGGGCTTTAACTTTACAAAAATTTTTTTATTAGATTTTTGTCGAAAATGGCCCAAAATGGAAATATTATCGGATTGGCTAGAAATTTGTTACTCGAGGGTTCTGGAGGTCGGTAATTGCGAATCTGAAGTTAGATTTAAACAAATTCAAAATAGTGGATCCAATATGGCGGACAATATTTTAAAAATGAATCGGATTGCTCTGAAATTTGTTACACGTGGGTTATTGGGGTCGCTGAATCCGAAGTTAGATTTTAAACATTCACGTCTGTAGTTAACCTACATAAGTTGTAGTTGCCAAAGCCCATCACGAGGGTGTTACAGTATGAATTAATAATTCGTTTTTTATTTAATTTTTTTTTGTATTTTTTCAGTTTTGATTTTTAATTTTGTTTATTTGAGGATCATTATTATTCTCTCCCATTTTCGACTTTCTGACCTATACGACTTTTCCTCAAACCCGTATTTGAATCCAGACCTTCTGTAGCTGGCAAATGACAGCAAGCATCTCTGCACAGTCAGCTAAGTACGGTCGATGCGTTAAGGTGTCTTCACTTGTTCCACTTGCATCAATTTTCTGCGTCGTTTGATTTTGCTCTTCATTTCACAGACGCTTTTAAGTAATTAAGAAAACCCCAAAAAAGTAATAAAATACACAAATTATATGCTGTCTCTGACGGCATTTGAACCCGAACTTGCTGGAAGCTAATAAATAACAGCAAGTATGTCTGCACGCTCAGCTACAGCCAGACATACAAATGTGTTTTCAAATGTTCAACTTCAATCATATTCCTTAAAATCGGTAAATTTACCATGAAAAATTCAAGCAATAATTTGTTTGGAAATACCATTCTGCTTTTGGCTCTCTGTAGGAATAGGTATGGAGATTGCATTTCTTTGGCACCATAATGTATCTCTATGACTATGTCTATGAGAAACCTGTCTGACATATTCCATTATTAATTTTTGAGATATTCCAATAAGTAAAGAAAAATTTATTTCGCATCTATTTTCACACTTCATTACATTTTCAATCTACTTACATGTCCTCCCTTCATCTCAATGAATTTGTTTTGTTGAAAAATGTCTTACCAAATAAAAAACGATCTCATAGATCTTAAAAAAATTCTTTTCCAAAAAATATTCTCCATACATGCATACATGTGTAAGTAAATTACTATTTTTTTATTTACGATTTTTAGCTCATCGTGGCATCATTTCACCAAGCGTCGTCGAACACACATCTAACGTACAAGTTTCGCAAGATGAGGGCGCTGTTTTGCTATGCGTAGCGCAGGGCTGTCCATCACCCGAATACAGGTATGTAATAATAAAATAATTGTGAAATACATGCATGTATCAGTACCATCAAGAATTGTTTAGTGATGCTTGATTACATAAATATTTCTAATAGAAAAATTATTTATGTGTATGAAAAATTCCATGTCAATTGAATGCAATAACATAATACACATTTTGCTAGGCAGTTGAAATTTTTTTTTCAATTTGGAAAGTCAGAAATGAATAACAATTTGACTATGATTAATGAAAACATTTTGTTTTGACATAATCCGAGGAGTTTTTCAGAAACGTCGCCAGCCTAGGCGCAATTATTCCCGAACGGCTAGACAAGAACTTTCGGATGCCTACAAAGGGTTTTAAACCAGCCACCCCCTTTTCCTTTTTACTTAAATGCCTTAAGCGACTTATTATCCTATATATCGATTGCTGAGTGGAAGACCGACCTATCTCGGCAACCAGTTCGAAAACGCCCTATCTTAAAAAACTTTTCAAGGACTCAGAATTTGGTAAAAGAACGCCCGGAGCGTACACTGGTTTCTACTTCATCTAGTCGAATGATAATTCGAAAATATTTGACATCACACTACATAGAAGAAAATGATCAGCGAGTACTGATAATGGCTCCGAACGGACCCTTGTTAACACTCATCCCTCTAAGGAATAAACGGGGAGAGTGGCAGCTTATGTAACAGAGATCCAGTTAACATTTCCACGGAGGAGTTGTAGTCGACGTAGAGTTGGAGGAATTAATTTGTAAGCTGATAGATTTATACAGCATATTTCAGACAGAGGTGGCCGCTGTAAAGAAGCATTCGATTGGCTGGGAAAGTAAATATCTACATACTCCGACAGGCAAATGGCAATCACGGCTCTCATGAATCGCTCACGGTACAATCGAAATTGACAGACAAACGCCTGACCTCTCTCGATCGCCTAGAATAGGTCTAAATGAGCTCCTTTTCTAACAACTCTACATGGAGGAAATACAGTTATTGTTTCGGGAAAAATCTTTTAAATGACACCACAACGGACAACATAAGAAATTTTACGCCAGTTAACCGGAAAACAGCAATAAAACACTTTCTTCCCAGTCCTTGGTGTTAACAAAACCACTCAATTTACATATTAACAACACTGTTAAAAACGGCTGTAATTAGCTTCCTTCCAAGCAAACATTAGTATGGAGGAGCACTCGGGTAGAAAACTGCACTCAAAATTGTCCAGTTAATCAAGACAAGCAAACCGTTGAGCTGTGGTTAGCACATACATAAATAAATAAATAGCCAAGTGTGACGAGCAAAGTGGTCGTAATCAACAAAAGAAGGGGGAGGGAAACAAGGAAGTAAGGCAGGCGCTTGGAAAAATGGTTGCTAAAGCGAGACATTTGTCACATTTGTTTTACTAAAATACATACATACATAATGAAATTGACGCACATAAAGTCATAATAAAAAGCATTTGCGTTTTATTAAAACCACTGAATGGCTGGGGCAACCAACAAAAGGCGTACATAGTAGGTAAATATGCGTAACAAGAATAAGTGAAATCGAGGCGAAAATACCGCAATAACTAATATAAGTAAGTTGTTCTTGCAGTTTGTAAATAGTTGTATATGACGAGAAGAGTAAGGAAAGAGAATGCTTCAAAAGGAAATGACACTATGGAGACCACTATCTGGTTATTACTAAAACTGCTGTTGCTGCCTGTGGTTGTTGTTATTAGTTAGCAGCATAGGCAAAGAAAAGAGATTATTTGGTCGTAACATAAGGTTGTGTAATAAAATTGAATCTCCTTTTCTAGGAAACTATCACCATTGACCTTGTGTACGTTAATATAGATATATACAAATATATTTACTTACGAAGCTCTTTACAAGTTGATAGGCTGCATTTAGTTCTTGAATGAGTGTATGTTAGGTTAACCAAGGTTGGATTGTAGTTGCTAGCAGGATTACGAAACCAGTTTTATTTGCAAACCGGGTTTTTTATTTTAATGCGTTTTTATGTCTTGACTCAATATTCGTATTATCTTCATATTTCACAATATCTAAAAATTTTTGTCGGAAACAGAAAACATTATCAATTGGCTCTCTCTTTTGCAAAGTGACACCTGCTTTTGATTAGAAATGTAGACACACCCTACTGCATTTAGTCATTTCTTTGTTTTCGTTTACTTTCATTTCACACCTATGAGTGATATTTTTCAAACGGAGTATCGTCGTTCATCTATCCGTAAGACATGTCGATGCCGTATTTTTAGGCATTTGACTAGATAGATAGCTAGGTTGATATAGAGGAATGCACTGCGAAACCATAGAGATCCCAAACATTTTAGAATATATCCTGGGGTTAGCGATTGTATAAATTCTTCGTTTGGCCAGAGTTGGCCTAGGTACCTCTTCAGTCTTCTCACAACCGCCTGGCACTCTTTAGGGAGGTTGATGAATGCCCTGTACCTTATAAGCTTGTAACCTCCCAGCAAGCATTTTGCCTGAAGTAGACCTGCGGTGTTATGCCAGTATTGATCTTTGAGTATGTTCCTCACCTTTCTGAACTCTTCCTTGATTGTGCTAGGTCCGATTGCAAGGAAAAGCTCATCTCGTCTCCTAACGAGGCGGCCGCCGTTCTAGCTAGCCGGTCTCCTTCCTCATTACCATCAACTCCTATATGTCCTGGTACCCAAATTGGTTGAATGGCATTGTCCTCCGCCCGGACGTTAATGCACTCAAGAACCAAGTAGGACTTGACCTCAAATGATGAAAGTGCCTTGAGAGCCGCCTAGCTATCAGTCTGTATTTGAATTTTCTCATTACGGTAATTTCTACGTAGGTTAATATCTGCACACAGACCAATGTTGAAAATTTTTGAAGTCAACCTAAAATTAGACCAGCTTTTCATATAATGGCAAATTTTAGAAATACGGAAACCTCGATGTTTTGAAATTAAGGGCGCTAATTTACTCGAAGTTGATACTCACAACAGTTCCAAAAAAAGTAAGGAGATTATTATGGAACTTTGGAAAATGGGCTCACTTATAACTAAATAAGTTTATCTCATAAAGTCTAACTGAAAATATTAGCGAAAATGTTTGAAATAGGTGTAAAACCACCCCTGTATATCATGTAACAGTTTTGTAGTTTTCAGAAAGGTGAAAAAACTATATTTAATACGTGCACCGGGTATTTAATGTTCGGCATCGCCCGAAATGTATCTTTTTTCTTGTTAAAAATTGCCCGAGCCCCTGATATTCAGCCTACCCTGGGACAATTGAACTCCTGACCACCCTCTCGACGGGTAGGTGTTCATACTAAAAGCCCTCTATAATAAGGAATTCGCATAATAGTGCCCTTCAGTGATTTATTAGGAAGGTTAAGTTAGATTAGGAAGGCGTGTATGAATAACTCAAACTTCCGCTCGAAAGCAGACTGAAAGATTGTGAACGCTCTCCATGAGTGCCAGGCGGAGGCACAATTTTCTAACCAGAGTTATTCTATATTGTCAGTATAGTGGTTGTAAAACTATTAACTATACCGGATATACCTCCGCTAACTCCTCCAAACTATAGAAAAGCATGATTCCATTAAGGCGCCCTGTCTGGAGAGCTGGGCATTCACATAGGAAAAGGTGTACCGATTCCTCCTCTTCTTCATTCCGACAACTTCTGCAGAGAGAGATCGTTAGTATACGCCATCGATGGAGCATTGGTACTGTAGTTCAGTATCCTGTAGTATAGCCGAACAATGTGCTTTTTGAACACTCCATGCGAATTAATCGTAGCGCTTTCGACAGAAGCAATATTTTGATATGAACCAAAATAGTTTTGAAAGCTAATTTTATTTCCTTTCACGGAAAAATACTGCCTTGACCAACAATTACTCCTTGACCTTAAAAAATTGGTCAAAAATTATGTTCTTAAAAAAAACACATGCAAAATCCACCGGATTTGTTAAAAATTTTTTTTTGTATATATTTTTTTTCACCAACATTATAGATTTTGAGACAAGAAACACGATTCCACTGTTTAATAATCGGGAAAAAAATTTATTTAACACCTCAATTTAATAAATGTATTTTTGATTGAATTTTTTTTTATTTGCATGCATCCTTCTCACAATTGTATATTACTCGAATAACAAGTACGCTATAGTGCTATTCAAGATCTTTAATTTGAGCCAAGGTAGAAGTCTCTAGGCCCTTTCGGAGCCAAATTATAACGATTCTGAAGTTAAACTTCTAAATTTCATTCGACATTTTTCCATTTTTTTCTTCTTATTTCGGAGATTAGTTTAAAATTGTATTATCTTGGCTCTCAGAGGGCCTAAAGATTTCCACCATGGCTCAAATTAAAGATCTTGAACAAAGTTGTGAGAAGGATGCATGCAAATAAAAAAATGCAATCAAAAATGCATTTCTTAAATTAAGGTGTCAATATTTTTCTTTTTGATTTTTAAATAGTGTAATCGTGTTTCTCATCTCAAAATCTATAATATTGGTGTAATAAAATATACAAACTGTATTTTTTTTGGAACAAATCCGTTGGATTTTGCGTGCTTTTTTTCGAAGAATACTATTTTTGACCAATTTTATTAAGGTCAAGGAGTAGTTGTGGTTCAATGGCAGTATTTTTCCGTGAAAGGGAATAAAATTAGCTTTCAAAACCATTTTGGTTCATAACAAAGCACAGCTTCTATCGAAAGCGCAACGATTATTTTGCATGGAGTGTTCAAAAAGCACACACAGTGCCTAATTTGGACGAATTACGGGAAGGAAAATTTTAGAGCCCACAATTTTTACTCTACAGATTTTTTTTTGCGTTATGTACTTCTGATAGACTGTATAACTATGGTTTCAAAGGATGTGCGTAATTTTATATGTAGAATATTTTATATGGGCATTTCCAGGCGAAGGTCTTTATAGTCAAGAATTAAAAATTAATCGAAATATTGAGTGATATTATGTGATTTATAATATCTTAGCACCTTTTTCCAGCAGTTTCCAAATTTTGCATTAAATATAGTG